GAATCTAATATGAAACTTTTGAAATATGTATTAATATGATATTTTAAAATGAGCATAAAATCAGTATCAAATGAACATATGTAACTTACAAAATGAGAGTTGAAATATAATTTGATTTACAATGAGTATTTTGTTATTGAATTACAAATATAATCGGGTTCTTTTTATAATACTTACCCATACATATTTATTTTACACTATACTCACTTTTGTATAACACAAAACTCATGTTAGTAATTATGAGTAGCTTATACTACGTAATAATTTAATAAACAAATAAATATACATTCTAAATTAAAAATAGAAAAATAAAGCATTAATATCTAAAATATTTTATAATACATAAATTAAAAAAAATAAGTCAGAAGGTTGATTGAAAAAAACTCCAACATTAAATAATATTTTATATTATTTGAATAACATTTTCATCAATAAAAAAGCAAAACGATTGTTAAGATGAAAAAAGAAAAAGAAACGAGAAGAACAACTAACAAGTAAGAGCAGCTACTACGATTAAGCTACTACGATTAAAGCAACGTACAATCGAAGTCAGTGATTGAAACGGCGGAAAAAAGAAGAAAGGAACCGATGGAAACGGAGGAAAAATAGAAGGATAGCAGGGAGCAGCTACTACGTTTCAGGCCCGAAGTTGTATATAATTTCAAAAATACCTGATTGTAAGGTGAGCACCATACAGCCGTTACGGTATAATTTAGCCTTGATGTACCATATTGGCTATTTTCAGGTTCTAAATATCGAACCGGATCAGCTGATTGATTCTGGTTCTTAGGTGCTGTTCTGTTCGTCTTATTCTTATTACTTATTGCTTATTCTTATTTTATTCAGATCAGATCAGATCAGATCAGAAAAATTCAGATCAGATCAGATCAGAAAAATTCAGATCACATCAGATCAGATCAGATCAGATCAGAAAGATTCAGACCTGATACAAATTCATCAGTACCAAATGAGCATACATAACTCACCAATTGAGCAATAATATGCAAATCATAATCTTTGTTAGTTGAGCATCAAAACATTTTCATTGAATGTCAAACCTTCTTTATTGAGTATCTGAAGCATGCAATTGGGTATCATGATCTCTGCTCCCATTTATATAATCTAACTCTGATCTTTTATGCGAATCTAATATGAAACTTTTGAAATATGTATTAATATGATATTTTAAAATGAGCATAAAATCAGTATCAAATGAACATATGTAACTTACAAAATGAGAGTTGAAATATAATTTGATTTACAATGAGTATTTTGTTATTGAATTACAAATATAATCGGGTTCTTTTTATAATACTTACCCATACATATTTATTTTACACTATACTCACTTTTGTATAACACAAAACTCATGTTAGTAATTATGAGTAGCTTATACTACGTAATAATTTAATAAACAAATAAATATACATTCTAAATTAAAAATAGAAAAATAAAGCATTAATATCTAAAATATTTTATAATACATAAATTAAAAAAAATAAGTCAGAAGGTTGATTGAAAAAAACTCCAACATTAAATAATATTTTATATTATTTGAATAACATTTTCATCAATAAAAAAGCAAAACGATTGTTAAGATGAAAAAAGAAAAAGAAACGAGAAGAACAACTAACAAGTAAGAGCAGCTACTACGATTAAGCTACTACGATTAAAGCAACGTACAATCGAAGTCAGTGATTGAAACGGCGGAAAAAAGAAGAAAGGAATCGATGGAAACGGAGGAAAAATAGAAGGATAGCAGGGAGCAGCTACTACGTTTCAGGCCCGAAGTTGTATATAATTTCAAAAATACCTGATTGTACGGTGAGCACCATACAGCCGTTACGGTATAATTTAGCCTTGATGTACCATATTGGCTATTTTCAGGTTCTAAATATCGAACCGGATCAGCTGATTGATTCTGGTTCTTAGGTGCTGTTCTGTTCGTCTTATTCTTATTACTTATTGCTTATTCTTATTTTATTCAGATCAGATCAGATCAGATCAGAAAAATTCAGATCAGATCAGATCAGAAAAATTCAGATCACATCAGATCAGATCAGATCAGAAAGATTCAGATCAGATCAGAAAGATTCAGATCAGATCAGATCAGACCAGATCAGAAACATTCAGATCAGATCAGAAACATTCAGATCAGATCAGAAAAGTTCAAACATGATTTATCATTTTTATTATTATATTAAATATTAATTATTATTATTAATATTGTTATTACTATTATGATTATTATTATATACTCCTTCCGTCCCGAAAACAACTTCCCGGTTGCACTTTCACACACTTTTAGGAAATAAATTTGACTTTACTGTAGAATGCACTGTTTTGCAGTGTTTAAACAATGTTTGACACTGTTTAAACACTGTTTGACACTGTTTAAACACTGTTTGGCACTGTTTATCACTTTTTTGATGTAGATAATTTGCCAAATAAGGAAAGTATTGAAGTGTGAAGTTAATTTTGGGACATCCATTTAAGGAAAGTGAGAAGTTGTTTTCGGGACGGAGGGAGTAATTATTATTAATAATATTAATAATAATATGATAAAAAAAGATATTAATAATAGTTATAATATTTTAATATAATAATAGTAATATAAATGCAATTGTTAAGAAGACTATTATTATTATTACAATATAATAATAATAATAATAATATGATTAATATTATTATAATATTATATTATAATTATATGTAATTATAATTATAATTACAATTATAATTCTTATAATTATAAGTATCAATTGTAATTATTATAATTATATCTATAATTAATTATAAATATAATCGTAATTAATTATAATTATAATAATTATAATTATAATTACAATCATAATTATAATTATGATTGTAATTATAATTATAATATAATATTATAATAATATAATACTAATTATAATAATAATCATATTATTATTATATTATTGTAATAATAATATTATTATATTATTGTAATAATAATATTAATATAATAATGTCGTTATAATAATATTAATTGTATTTATATTACTATTATTAAATTATAATATTATAATTAATGTTAATATAATTATAATTATTATTAATTATAATTATAATAATTATAATTATACTTATAATTATATTATAATTATAATTTAAGATTATAATTATTATTATTTATTATTATTATTATTATTATTATTATTATTATTATTATTATTATTATTATTATTATTATTATTATTATTATTATTATTATTATTATTATTATTATTATTATTATTATTATTATTATTATTATTATTATTATTATTATTATTATTATTATTATTATTATTATTATTATTATTATTATTATTATTATTATTATTATTATTATTATTATTATTATTATTATTATTATTATTATTATTATTATTATTATTATTATTATTATTATTATTATTATTATTATTATTATTATTATTATTATTATTATTATTATTATTATTATTATTATTATTATTATTATTATTATTATTATTATTATTATTATTATTATTATTATTATTACTTGTAATTATTTTACGGAGTAATTATAATAATATTGATAACTATAGTTACAATTATAGAGATAAATATTGTAATTATAATTACAATTATAATTATAATTTTATTTAAATTGTATTTGTAATTGCAAATATAATAATTATAATTATAATTATAATTATAATTATAATTATAATTATAATCATAGAAATATTCGAATCAGATCAGATCAGAAAGATTCAGATCAGATCAGAAGGATTCAGATCAGATCAGAAACATTCAGATCAAATCAGACCAGATCAGAAACATTTAGATCAGATCAGAAAGATTTAGATCAGATCAGATCAGAAAGACTAAGATCAAATCAGATTAGACAGATTCAGATCAGATCAGATCAGATTAGAAAAATTCAGATCAGATCAGATCAGAACTTAAAAAATTCAGATCAGAAACATTCAGATCAGGCGAAGAGAACAGCTTCTTATTCACATATCCCAAGAGGTCCAGTTGTTATACCGTATGACCGGTATACGGTGAGCACCGTATACCGCCATACGGTTTTTGGCAAGCAGCGTATTTGGCAAGCACCAGATCTTTATTTTTTATTTCTCTTTTTTTAAAAAATGGTAATAACTTTTTTATTTTTGATCCGATTTTTATAAAATTTATACCAACATTTTTAATTTTTCATGATCTTTCAAATGAGACCAATATTGCCTATGTAATTTTAACCTATGTAAAATATGTAATTTTACGTGTAGAAATATGTAACTCACGTCCAGTCAGGCCAAATGCAACTCGTGTGTATAAATATGTAAATCTACGTGTAAAAATATGTAACTTTACTTAAAAAAAAATGTAACTCGTGTTCAGACAGGTCAAATGCAACTTGTGTGTATAAATATGTAACTCGCGTGTATAAATATGTAACTTTACGTGTAAAAATATGTAACTCTACGTGTAAATATATGTAACTCGCGTTCAGACAGGTCAAATGCAACTTGTGTGTATAAATATGTAACTCGCGTGTATAAATATGTAACTTTACGTGTAAAAATATGTAACTCTACGTGTAAATATATGTAACTCGCGTTCAGGCAAGTCAAATGCAACTCGTGTGTATATATATGTAACTCGCGTGTAGAAATATGTAACTTTACGTGTAAAAATATGTAACTTCACATATAAAAATATGTAACTCACATGTATAAATACCTAATACAATAAATTTTTTATATACATAATTTTAAGATAATTTGTGATTTACACAATTATTTTTCTGTATTAAATTTAGTTTGGTTTTCCTTATAATCCAATACACATTAATATAATAGTTCGATAATTTCTTAAAATTACATAAGCAATATTGATCTCATTTGAAAGATCATGAAAAATAAAAAATGTTGATATAAATTTTATAAAAATCGGATCAAAAATAAAAAAGTTATTACCATTTTTTAAAAACAAAAAAGGATAAAAAAATAATTTGCGCGATATAATTTGCGCAAGAGGTCCGTGAAGAAAGAGCACAGCAAATGAAGTTGGTCGGAAGAGAGGGAGAAAGAAGGGGTTGTACCCACTGTTTTCTCTGTTTATGGCCGTAAGGCCCTTCCACTTCATCGCTTCCGGCCATCACAACCGCATCCTTCTCTTCAATCAGACGTTGTCGTCCTTCATTTGCCCCAACCGCCCATTGTTAGGGTTCCCGCTTTCTGTTACCCAGCAACCCCGCAAACAAACCCCGCTACAGCGGCTGTACTCCTCGCAACGCCTCCGGCCGCGGGTGTACTTTCCAGAGACCCTGGCTCAGAAGTTCGGAAAAGCTATTCGCCGACCTGGCGCCCCATCGAAGGCTCGGGTTTACGCGGATGTCAATGTTACTCGACCTAAAGAGTATTGGGATTACGAGTCGTTGGCCATTCAATGGGGGTAATTGTTTGTATTGTTTGTGAATTTAAACTTTTAATTCCGCTTCTTTTAATTACTCGTATTGAGTTTGTTCGGGTGGTTTTTTGCGAGTTAACTGCAGGGAGCAGGATGATTACGAGGTAGTGAGGAAAGTTGGAAGGGGAAAGTACAGCGAGGTTTTTGAGGGAGTTCACTCTACGAATAATGAAAAGTGCATAATCAAAATACTTAAGCCTGTCAAGAAGAAAAAGGTTGGATTTTTTCTATCATAATCTGCTTCATTTGTTTTGCGTGCTGATCCAGGGGCAACACACATGCTTGGATTTTTTCATTTGAGTTTCTTGTGTAAGAGAGCTATTTGAGAATCATGAAATGTAATTTCTATGGAGTACTTCTTGTGTCACTGTTTCCTAAACGGCTAAACCATACTCCGTATTTAGCTTTTTGTTTGGTTTAGATCATTAATAATAGGGTAACAATGATTTAATGAAATTTTATTAGTTGCACACAGCGTACCTGTGATCTGCCCCCAGTTGAAACTGCCCCCAGATGAAACTAGGAGTGCACATTTATGTGTTTTCCATCTGGTTTGAACTTTGAAGTTCTCCAGAGTTAAAAAAACACTATGAATGTATACAATCGAAATGAGTCACATATATGTTTTATCCTCCCCTTTGGCCCTTTCAATATTAATGCATACAGCCCATGCAATAGATGAGGTCAAAATCCGCACCCTAATTGCTAACTGAACACACTATGTACAAAATTGGATAGACTTCTAGCCACATGTAGTGTTATGACATTCTCAATGAAAAACCTGCCAACATCATGTAATAATTGCATGGACTTCTAGCCACATTTAATGCTATGACATTCTCGATGAAAAACCTGCCAACATCTAGACATACTAGACTAAGCTGCTCTCTGTTTGAAACCTTACTCGTTTTAAAGGAGAATATTCTCTTCATGGTCATTTGATCATTTTCTGTAGCTCTTCATAGCTCTTTAACAATCTGAGAAGCAATCCATTGGCTTGTGAACATGTGTTCCACTACCACAACTACCATTATACGAATTCCCAATTTCATTTGGAGCACCAAAATAAGAACTTGAACCAGCCATTTCCTAAGAGCTTCTGATTTGAATCTTTTTTGCTCCTGTGAATTCCTTACGAATGCCGACATCTCATTTCTCGTAATGTTTACACATCCTCCAAGATGGCATTTTAAGCTCTTAAGCTCACTCCTGCAATAGTATAATTGCAAAGCTTGCATTTGAAGTCGATTTACCTTTCCCTCTGACAGATCAACTTCAGTCCCATACTTGATACTTGCAAGCCCAACACCATAACTTTCACCTATATGACCATGGGATTTATGACCCTAAATCCATTTGAAGTCGATTTACTTTTGTTGTTATTATTTAAATAAAAGAAAGGAAGAAAGAGTTGGAGTTGTTTGAAAGAAAATAGCAGCAGAATATTTGGCAAATGGGACAGCATGGCGTAAGCCTCGTTTATGTCAGACAGGGTTTAAACTTTAAGCTGATTTTCTCCACACCTTTGCTCTCAGAGGTGCATGCCCCACTCACCTTTGTCAACCATAGATGACGGGTTTGAGATTTTATTTCATTACCCATTCTCAAGGTTGGACAATAAGTGCATCTGGTGTAGAACTATGTCATTCATCTGCATGACTTTAGAGTGTTAACTAACTGTAGACAATCTCTTTGCACTATAATTGAGTTATTGAGTTTAAGGTGGTGGCAGTAATAGTGGTCACTTTGATTCAAGATCTTTAATTTTTTTTGAAGGAAAGATCTTTATTGTTATTTTAAAGAAAATTGAATGGGCTTCTCATTCTAATCTTTAATGAAGTACATTGATCTTCTCAATTGGTTCCATTTCCATCATTTCCAATGGAGCCAATTAGCCAAAGACTCACTATTTTTTGGCTTGGGAATATGATGGAATAAAGCAAAATGACTCACTAACCTATCTGCGCTTCTTTGTTATGAAGCAACAGTCAGTCCATGTAATTTTTGATGCTATTTTCATCATAGGTCATCCAGAAACAGTCTCTCTGTGCTTTAGTACGAGGGGTAAGGCTGCGCACATCTGACACCCCCATACCCCATCGTTGGTGGGAGCCTTTTCGGCACTGGGGTAATGTTGTTGTTGTATTGATATTCTCAATTGGTGGTATACTAATCTGCAAATTTGCTGGTTGAATGCAGATTAAAAGGGAGGTTAAGATACTACAAAATCTATGTGGCGGACCAAATATTGTGAAGTTGCTTGATGTTGTCAGAGATCAGCAGTCAAAGACTCCAAGTCTAGTCTTTGAATATGTGAAAAACACAGATTTTAAAGTGCTTTACCCGACTCTTTCTGACTTCGACATTCGATATTACATTTATGAACTTCTCAAGGCAAGGCTGCTCTTCATATTTTTTTCTTCGATTGTTTTTTTAATAATAACTGCTCTGAAATCTGTCTAGAATAAAAGCTATCTGTCAGTTTGTACTTGACCGGACTGGTGTTGTGTTGTTGACAGAAGAACAAAATAGGAAATAGGCACTAAATAATGGTTGAGTATAAATGGTGGTGTGTTGTCCGTGTTCTCATTCAAGCGGGCTGGAAATAAGCACTTTTCTCCATCAGATCGGTCGTAAATGTAGTACTTTTCATGAAACTCTGCTCCCTTCATACTCCCTATATCCCATTTTATAAGTCATAGTTTTTTGTTTTTGGACCACGCTAACATTCTACTTTTTTGGACTTGCCGTTTATTGATATGAGCTGTACCCTATAAGCCCAATTTTTCATTACAGTTGCCCTCCTTTGTGAGAGTGAAATACGAAAATAAACCAAATATATCTTGTTTCCTGTATATCAGTGCAAAAAACAACTGGGAGTCTGGGACGCATAAAATGAGATGGTGGGAGTAAGTTCTTATCATATAATGTTTTGTTTTTTGGGCTCACCTTGGCATGTTATAAGCTAGCATATAAATCTGTAATTACCTTTTTGGTAAGGAAGGTAAGAAGCTTTTCAAATAATATGTTTGAACTTATTTAATTATCTTCATTGAGTCGGTTTGTAAATAAGTTGTGCACAATATTCTATTTTGTAACCCGTTTATTTAAAAAAATAATTTTAACATTTCTCTTTATGATTTTTTACATAACTAACGTAAGCTTATTGCCTATATGATCACCAAACACTATGAATATCAACTAACTTATACTTATCAGTCTATAGCTGTCATATAAGCTCAAGTAGATTATCCTTTTCTGCCAAAAATAGCCTAATATGCGATTGTGATATATTTTGCCCCTTCTCCCTCAATTTGTTTTTGTGTTGGTTTTTTGCTGGTACTGTGCCTGAGAAGTGAAAAAAACATGTTTGTCAACAGTGTTGTAATCAAGATGAATAGTAAAGTTCACGAGAATTCGTGTTCGGTTATCTTACAGATCTAATTTTATATTCATATTCAATTCATTTCTTATCTTTGAATATATTCAACTTCCATTCAAAGTTTGAATTCAAAAAAATTGTAGTGTCAACTTTTACTAGAAATTCTAATATACTACATATTGTTTACATTTTCATTTTCACAGCATATATTTCATACAAATGTATATGTATCCAGAAGTTACTTAACCACAACTAATTAATTCAAATCTATTAACTAAGTAAATGTTTAAGTATAACTCACTATACGTGTACATAAGTTTTAACTCTTAAGCTTTAATCTATTAATTTTAATAATTAAAATACACAAATAAATTTCTGTTATGATATTAGACACAATTACAATACGAATATATTCGAGTACTAATCGAAATGAATATAATAGTTTTTGTATTCAAAAACCTCTTCGAATAATAAAATCATTTTATATTGAAATTCATATTCAAGTTGGTCTCTCTTGTTTTGTCATGGGATTGCCAATCCTAGAAATGGTTATACTTTAAACTCCATCTCCCGAAAATTTTGCTGTTTAAGCAAAATAAATATTTGGTTCTTTTAAAGGCACCAATGCATGCAAGAATTGTTACAAGGATATGGAATGCACTTATGCACATAGCTTTGAAATCCTACATGTGTGAGAGTGTCCTCTAAGCTGCTTTTTATGGTTCCTTTTTTTCTTTTCAATTGGCATATCCTTATAGGTGCTTCATTTGAACATTTACATGAATGCTAAAAAAGTTTATACCTTCTCAATGAATAGGCCTTAGATTTTTGTCATTCTCAAGGCATCATGCACCGCGATGTGAAGCCTCATAATGTCCTTATTGATCATGAGAAGAGGAAACTTTGGCTAATAGATTGGGGACTCGCAGAGTTTTATCACCCCGGGGAGGAATTTAATGTTCGTGTGGCTTCTAGGTTTGCTCTCTTTTGTCCTGGTCTGCGTACCTCATTTGTCTGGTTGGCTGCTATCAACCATATACTTTACAAAAACTGTGTTATGCATCGTAACCTTGTGCTGGTGGGGGGTTTGGGTTATGATCTATTAAAATCAGCTAGAATTTTACAACTTGAATACTGAACGCCCTTGATACATAATTATATGCTTAGGCTTTTTTCTTCCATTTCAATGTCTTTACTTTTGAGAAATGATAACCTGAAACAAACATTAGATACTACTGTCAGTTGTATGCCATGTCATCGGTGTTCCCTAACATGGATCATTCACTATTTTGAGAACATCCCTGCATCTTCATACAGTCATACCTTTATTTTTCCATTTTATTCATAAATTTAAACAATTTATTAGAGTTTAAGCAAGGAGAGAAGATGGAAATGAAAACATCTTATTGAGAATGGTTAGTTACAGAGTATTTATACAAGTGAGTTTCTCAACAAACTAACAACTAACAATATAGAAGCCTTAACAGTCTATAACTACCATACAACTTATAGAGAAATGCACGTGTAGTGCTATACACTACTCCTAACATCCCCCCAAACTGGGGGTGATTGATTTGGAAAGTCAATCACTCTGAGTTGTTCCTAAACTCAAGAAAGGTAGAAGCATACAAAGGCTTGGTCAGCACATCTGCAACTTGTTGAGGAGCTGGAATGTGGAAAACTTCAAGTTGCTTAAGTCTAACTTGCTCTCGAACAAAAAAGAGATCAATTTCCAAGTGCTTGATCCGAGAGTGCAGATCAGGATTGTGAGCAAGCTGTACTGTGCTAAGATTATCACTGGGAGTGATGAAAGGAGCGTCAAGTTCTCTGAGTAGGTATTGAACCCATAAAATCTCAGATGTAGTGTCAGCAAGGCTTCTATATTCAGCTTCTGCTGAAGATCTGGCAACCCTCAGTTGTTTCTTAGACCACCAAGAGATGATATTGGGGCCTAGAAAGATGCATGATTCAGATGTTGATTTCCTGTCTGTGGGATCAGATGCCCCGTCAGCATCACAGAAAGCTGATACTGGTAGAGGCATAGTGGATAGAGGTAGAGGTTTGATGATTAGACCATGAGTAATAGTGCCAGATAGATATCTCAAAATGTGCTTTACAACCTTCCAATGTTCTTGTAGAGGTGCAGCCATAGACTGACAAACTTTGTTCACAGAATAGCTGAGTGCAGGCCTGGTTAAAGTAGCATATCGTAGAAGAACTCCCATAACAGACCTGTAATAAGAGGGGTCAGGAAGGTAATCATTTCCTTCACTGGTGAGTTTACAGCAGCCCTTCATGGGTGTTTTCACCCCTTTGGAATCTGACATCCCAACCTTGTGTAGAAGAATTTTGAAGAATTTTGAGATCCAGCTTCATTATTGTGAGAAGAGTCTTCAAGATGAGCAAAGTTGGCAGAAAATAATGTTTGTTGTGAAGTGTCACGAAGTTTTCTTTTTCGCAATTCTTTGGCCAACAGAAGGCCTTCAAGTTCCGAGAGAGAGATTGGATCCAAGATGCTACGAGAGGTAACAGACTCATAGTCTTCTGGAAGACCTTCAAGGATTACATTAATGTGATCCTTGGTGGAGATTGGTTCGCCGATGGACATTAGGTTATCAACTATGGTCTGAATACGAAGCAGATAGTCGGAGATAGAGCCATCACCCTTACCGGTATTGTATAGCTCAGATTTCAGCGTGACTATGTTTGATCGAAAGAATTTCTGAATTTCACTCCAAAGTTGATGCGAATGTTTACAACTGATTACGTGAGCATGAAGTGACTCGGAAAGGGACGCCAAAAGCCAGGAGAACAACATTTGATCTTGTTGCTCCATTGATCGTAGGCTTCATTGATCGTTTTTGTTCTTCCATTGTCGCCAACAACCAATTGTTTTGGTATTTGAGGATTTTCAATAAATTTGTAAGGTTTATGTGCTCGGATCACAGATTCAACATGATGTCTCCAGAACAAAAAGTTAATGTATAACTGATTTTAGCTAAGATTAATGGACTGTAGTTGAGGTGATAATGGTGTCACTGATGTGCTATGCCTTGTTGTGAAACTATAGGTGGCTATTTTTTCCCACCAAAATTTATAAGTAAGAGGCCAAACGGCCAAAAAGCATAATGAATGGGACCTACAAAGTTTACCTATTAATGGATAAACTTTGTGCCTATTTGAACATTTATTATTGTAGATTTCCAGATACTCGAGAAACAACATCAAAGGCTCAGTCTCGAAAGAGTTTGGGGTCGGCTAACATGAATCGGCATATGAATTCGAAGTTAAAAGAGGATACAAAGAGATCAATCCTTCACCCGAATATTCTCCCTTCACTTCGCTCTCTCCAAAGTCAAAATCATAATTTACATATACTGGAATTGGCATAAAATATAATCAGTTCTACTCTGGTCTCTAGAATAGCCATTCGGTGTGCAGTCGAATGCTTCTCCGAGAAGAGTCCAAAGTGGTGCTCACGGGACCACTTTTTCAAGGTGTCTTCATTTCAATGTTACTGTCAAGTAGTTGTGAATTGGTAGTTGAGGCTAAACCTCCACTCTCGACTCTCAAGCTAACTTTTTGCCATGGAGTAGCGGCGACCTTGGTTCAAGTGTTGGGTACTTTTCGGTTACTATGTTAGGAGCGGATCTAGAACTAAAGGTCACTGTGCGCCAAAATTTTAAAGGGAAAAGTAGTCACGCTCGTTAAATAATTCTCACTATTATTCTTCATCGATCTCAAAGTTATCGCTAATTTCCTTTTAAGAAAGAAATTATGTAGTACACATTGTTTTTTTCCTTCTCTAAATGAATCTCAACCAAACATTTTATTTAATTTCTATGCCAAATCATAGTGGGCCTAATAATGTGGTCATCTCCATTTTACCTCTTCATTTCCTCTTCTCTCTCTCCAGTTTTCTTTTTTCCTACGCACTTTAATACGTCACCCCTTTGTTTTCTCTCACTCTCATACTGGCTTCTCCGGTACTGGAAAGGAGTGGCGCTCCATAATAACTAAAAAATCAGCCGCTACGGTTGACCTCATAAAACAACAACTAAGGATGTAACAATAACTTTACCAATGACATCTTGCTCACGTAGGTGAGAGAGATGTATTAGGATTTAGGAACGTTGTGAACCAAACGTCACAGGTTCAAGTCCCCCAAGGGATCGAAGGGGGCTTTTGCAAGCGATCAGTTGGGAGCACCACCTTGTAAACCTAATTGAAGATATTAGGAACTTTTGAATCAAAATGCACATCTCGCTATTTAATTGGAAGTATTTGTGAGGGGCCGGATCGAGCTGAAACTGAGTCTTGAGGAATATTCAGGCCTCATCCTAAAACATCTCAATTAAAAGAAGATATAACATTATCATCTATTTCTCTCTCCCTGAAAACTAGAAGTATTCCTTCAAGCGTAAAAAATGGTTAACTAAACCCTAATCTCTCACCCTAATTTTCCTAAAAAATCAGTGTGATCCTTTGCCTTCCCTTGCCTCTACATAGATCCTCACTTGACTATATTCTGAACTCTTATGCTCGTTGGACGGATTTGCTAATTCTAGCAACTCTAATTCTCATTTATCTTGCAGCATTGACCCAGTAGGTAAGTTATTTTTTTTTTATTTTTAATATCATGGCTGCCGGATGAACACTTCTTTTCATTTCATGGTTCAGATATTTTAAAGGCCCTGAACTTCTTGTTGATCTACAAGATTATGATTACTCGTTGGACATGTGGAGCCTTGGCTGCATGTTTGCAGGAATGGTAAGGAACATTCAGGGCATGTCATAGTAGTATACTTAGGGAAATTGCCCTAAATAGGAGTAAAAATGTTTGTGTATTCTAAAATAGGACTTCCAAGTGTTTATTTCCTAAATAGAAGTAATTACTGCCATGTTTTGGTAGTACCAAACGTTAAACATAACAGTATTTTCCAAAACTGTCAGTAATTGCTCCTATTTAGAGAATAAAAACATGACAATCATATTTTGTATTTTTCAAACGTTTTTACTCCTATTTTGGAAAATTTCATAGTACTTATAGTTTAACACAAATGCCTTGGAGTAGTGTCATCCTGAATGTAGAGTATGACCTGGATATTTTTAATGTCTGTGTTATAGATATTCCGAAAAGAGCCATTCTTTCATGGACAAGACAATTATGACCAACTTGTGAAGATTGCTAAGGTATATAAAAAGTAGTTCTTTTTTATCGATGTACAACATTTTTAATTTTGACAAGATTCAACTCTCGAATCATGGGATCCTATTACATTTTTCATGATTTAAAACTAAGTTTCATCGTATTGAGTTTCGTCCCTTAATAACTTTTGAAACCTGAATTTCATGGGGGGAGGAGCAAAAGGAGTACCTATTTTCCTTATCTATAAAGGACTGTTGAGCCAATTTTGAAGGGACCTTTGATAGAGACCTGGACTTATGGGCTTTATATTTTAATATAATGTAATAGTGGGCTGGGTCAAGTAATTAGATAGATTGAGGGAAGCCTCATTGGAAAAGAATAAATAGAAGGAAGAGAAGAAAAGGGGAGGGCAGGCAGACTTTGGACTGGAAATAGACTTGGGGTAGGAGACTGCTCTAGGTGTCTCAAACTGTATTTTCCTTTTTTTTTCATTGATCGTTCTCTAATATACATCAAAGTTACCGATTGAATCTGAGGGTTCTAACATTGGTATCTGAGCAGTCGGCCCTGGGAAGCTTCAATCGACATTCACGCAACAAAAAAATGGAGCAGCGCAGGGAACATTGACGGTCAGAACAGAAGGTGACTGCCTCTGGTTTGCGCGCAAACCTGGAGAATAGCACCCGAAGTGTCGAAGGCCATGTTACGAAGATGGAAACGATGCTGGACGAGATGATAAATCATCTGCGTAAACAGCGTTGCCGGAGAACTAGAGACCGAGCGAGGAGCCCTCCTAGATGCTGTCGGCCAACTGAAAATCAGGTTTCATCGTCTGCAATCGCGAGTGGCTTCGCTTACTTCGCAGGCATCGTTGTGTGCACAGGTTTCTTCTCAGTCGCGTGCGCAGGTTCCGTTCAGTTTTTTGGCTTTATCTCGAACTCCATCTCACACTTCGAAATTCCGAAGTTCATCTCCCAGTTCACAGGCGCGAATAGTTTATCCTTGTTCGCAGAATTCAATGCAAATCCTTTTTCAAGGTAAGCCATCTTCGTCGCAAGCAAAATACTCTTCTTCGAAGGTGGCATCGCTAGCGGTTTATCCCAGTTCACAGTCGCAGCGAGCAGTGTTTACCAGTTTGCAAGCATTGTCGTTCTCAGCTTTACCAGTGTGGCAGCATCACCTCAAACAGATCTACCTTGTCCGCATGACTCGTCGCAAGTCAATTCTCACCCTGTGCAAGTTTCATAGAAGACACTGAACTCCATCGATTCTCACCCTGCGCAAGCCATAGACCACGTGGAATCAGGAAGTGAACCGCTGGAGACTCCATTACCGACAATAAACATTGAGTTTAAGCCAGCTGAACCATCAACCAATGAACTGGAGCACGACAAGGATACTACTGAACCTACGGAATGTCCACCAGATATTCAGAATGATTCGAACACGCAGGTGATGGAAGACAATGGAATGCGTCCAGGTAATGTAGATCCAGCTCAAGTGGAGCCTCCCGTTTTGGCAAGGCAATTGATAAAGGATAATTCACAGACTAGTTCATTCGAAGGATCAGTTTTCACTAATTCAGATGCCATGCCTGTGAGGGAAGAAAAGAGGAAGGTGATAACTGTTGATAGTTTTTGTGCCAGTGGGAATTTTGCAATTGGTGTGAAAGTGAATTGTCCTCTGGGACCTATGTCAGGATTTGAAATGGTAAAGCTTAGGAAGGAGTTTGAGGTGGGGTCTGAATTAGGCTTAAGGTGTGCTGGGTTGCAAGTCCAAAAGGAGTGGAGTTACCAATAAGAAAGCTACTCTTGTTGAATCTAAACATGGAATCCTCAGTTCATACACGGATGCTACTGATGAATGTAATTGGGAGTCCTTCCAGGCAGCTGTGATTCAAAGGGTTCAACAAGAGCTGGTTGGTTGGGAAGTATCCTTACAATTCACTTCTAACTTCTAAGAACTCTCTGACTGAACCTTATAATGCACACACTATTCTGACTGTTAATTGTGGTGAATCTACTATCATCTTTGGAAAAAACACACTGATCAGTGATGCTGACTGAGCAATTACGAAGGATTATGCTACTGGTGAAGAGAATGGAAACTTACAGAGGCACAGCTACTGGTTGCTTGAAGAGGAGTAGTCAAACAATGTTCTAGTGCACTCCAGGGAAGTCAAGGGTAGCAGGGGGAACTATAGTCGTACACGAGAACTTAAATTAGTTATTCTCCTTTTTTCAGATGGTGAAGAAGATGTGAACAGCTCTGAAGTGGGCACTACACTTTCTTCAAAACCCCAACAATATGATTACCAAGCAACACCACATGTTACAGATGCGGCTAACCTTAAAAGTGCTCAAGCCTCAGATTATGAAGAAGCTAAAACAGCAGTGCACAATCAACTATCAACTTCTGGGATGCACTCTTACTGAGTTTCCAGCAATTATGAACCCCAAGGGCGAAGATGAACTTTCTGCTTCTTATTATCCCAACTACATCTCGAATGCTCATCAAGGCCATTTTTCAACTGTTTCTGAAAAGAGTACTGCAACTTATGGATATTTACCTTTTCAAAATTTACTTTCCACATCTCAGTCTGTTGCAATAAGCAAGCTGAATGGGCAAGTGAGTGCTATGATTGGTTTCACAAAGGCCCTAGAAGAATGGGGGGCACCTAAAGGTGAATAAGTCAAACTATCAAAGTGGTTTGTGTATCCGAAGGCTGAACAGAACAGGTAATGATCTGGATGTATCAAAAGGTGATGATTGGGAGCTGAAAGTGGTTCCCGGAATTGGTGGCAGAATAATATCCATGCAGCATCTTCCTACTGGAACTCAGTAGCCTTACAGCCGAGTAGATATAAACAGCTGCAGCATATAGTGGATTTGGGTACAGATCTGCTGGATGCATGCAAGAGTATTATGTCATTGAAAAGGATCAAGAGCATGCAGGAGGAGTCAAATCTTTTGCATTACAAGGAAATAAGGAAGTTTTGGTTCAATGCAGACAACTATCAGATTTGGAAGATTTTTGGTAAAGTTTCAGCAAATGCCAGGAAGGGGGACGAGTATGAAGCTGGATGGCATGGCTGATCTTACCCCCCCCCCCCCCCCCACACCTTGAGGACAAGGTGGTTGTCAAAGGGGGAGTGATGATAGAGACCTGGACTTACGGGCTTAATATTTTAATAAAGTGTAACAGTGGGCTGGGCCAAGTGATTAGATAGATTTGAGGGAAGCCTCATTGGAAAAGAATATATAGGAGGGGGGGGGGCAGCCAGACTTTGGACTGGAAATAGACTTGGGAGAGGGCTCTAAGTGTCTCAAACTGTATTTTCCTGTTTTTTCCATCGATCGTTCTCTAATATACGTCAAAAGTTCATGGGGGGAGGGGCAAAAGTACTTTTTTTCCTTATCCATAAAGGACTGTTGACCCAATTTTGAAGGGACCTTGTGCCATGCACTATAGTTCATCTGTGTTTTATGACAGGTTATCTGGACCTGCCCCTGTTGAATTATAATACGTACTATTTAAGGATTGGTGGAGATGGAATCCTGAGTTCTTACACACAAGGAAACTTCTTATAATTTTAGTGTTTTACATTTCAATTGATTTGCAGGTATTAGGGACGGATGAGTTAAATGCTTATCTAACTAAGTATCATTTGCAATTAGACCCAAACCTTTCAGCTCTTGTTGGAAGGTTAGTAGTTTTTGTCTGTCCCATGCATAGGACTACTCCATATTACTTTTCTGGATTAAGATAAATTAATGTGTTAGTAAAACTATGCTATTTGTTCCAGGCATAGCAGGAAACCATGGTCAAATTTCATCAATTCTGAAAATCGACATGTAGCTGTACCTGAGGTAGGAGGAAGCTTTCACCATCTGCCCATGTTTTGCATATATTCTCTAGTGTTCTGATGTGCATTATATTTTTGTAGGCCATTGACTTTGTGGATAAGCTGCTTCGATATGATCATCAAGAAAGGCCGACTGCAAAAGAAGCCATGGTAAAATCTTAAAACCTGGATATTAGAGGGTGTGTTTGGATGAAGGGAGTGGGAATGGGGAGGTTTTGGGGGGTTTCGTGACTTGAGTCTATAAGGTAAGCTGGCAAGCAAACAAGAAAACAAAGGGAACTAAACAAGCACTAGTTACACGCGAAGCATTAAATCATCCATGTCTATTTATGCAGGCTCATCCATATTTCCACCCTGTGAGAAATGCTGAAAGCAGCAGGGCTCGTTAACATTAGAGGATGCTTCCTATTCTTGGCATCTTTTTTCCTTTTTTGGAAGTTGATAATTGTGAATTGCGGAAGAATTTCTGTGATTAAAAAAATTGGTCCTTTGCCCCCTTTCCCCTGTTTCATTCATCTGTTAGAAAGAAAATTTTCCTTTAGAATATCGTCAAAATTCTGACATGTATGTTTGACCATTTGGCATCATAGCGTGCGCTATCAGCAGCATTGTGGCCCTTTTAAATTTTCTGCTGGGTGTGGTTTTCATGCGAAGCCAAGTCTGCTAGATTTTCCTTTTATTGGTACCTTTGCATTCTATTTATTTCTATTGCGTTTTGTTAAATGAAGATTCCCAGCTGTATTTTATTGGTTTTTATTTGCTATATAGAGTGAAGGGTAAAAGTTTTGTTTCTTGAATGATCTCACATTCAAGAAACAAAAAAGGCCGCATGAGTACTGGTATAGCCAGAAATATATATCGTGTTGAAGTGATACAGGGATTTTTTCAGCTGAATTTTTCAATGACTATTATACTCTCATAAACGTAATAAAAGCGTGGACTGATACTTTTTTGGGTCGGTTTTAGTCCGGTATTGGCCAGTTTCAGTTTCAATGACTATATTATATTTGCTCATAAACTTAATAAAAGTGTGGACTGGTACTTTTTTGGGTCGGTTTTAGTCCGGTATTGGCCAGTTTCAGTTTTTATTTTTTACTTTTAATTTCTTTTATATTTTTAAATTGTTTCAGCCCTTCCTACCATTTTTCTTGCTTTTAAATGGACATAGGAAGTTTTTGCTTGGTTTAAGTTTGGTTTGATTTGGTTTGATGGATGATTGGTGTATCAGTGTGTATTTTGTCACTATCAAAATCTAGGCTTGGAACCGGTTCGGGCCGCCCGGCCCGGGACCGGCCCGGCCCGTCACTGTACGGGCCCGGAACCGGCCCGGTTCTCGGGTCCGGGTCCGGTTCGGGCACAGAACCGGTTGGGTTAGCGGGTCCGGGCTTGGGTCCTGTTTTTGGAGGCCCGGCCCGGCCGGGTCGGGCCCGGGCCTAACGGTCAGATTTAAAAAAAAAAAATCATTTTAATTTGAAAAAAAACCTTTTGGCTCAACAGCCACTTCCCAAACGGCTATATAGCCGTTGTGGGGGGGGGGGGGGGGGGTACCAGGGGGGGGGGGTCCGGGGTGTTTGGTGGTGGGGTGGGGTGGGGGTTAAAAAAAACTTATAGATACTCTTAATTTTAAACATTTTTTCACACCTCTTCTCCAACTCTCCCTAAATCCTACTCTCATCTCCAATTCTCTATATTTTATATATTAATTATCTACTTATAAATACATATACTATATTACTTAAGTTTCTTATCTACTTAATCTCTACTTATATTTCTTAATACATACATACATACATCTACTTAATATATACTTTATATAATATAAATATACTTTATAAACTATTACTATATACTTAATACATAATAATATCTACTTCTCTACTTAATAATATCTATTTTATATATACTTATTTTATGATATCTACTTTTATATATACTTTATAATATCTATTTTATATATACTTATTTTCTTATTTTCCAATCTCCAATTCTCCATTATACTCTAATATTTAATTCTTATACAATTATTATATCCACTTAATACATACATTCTACATCTACTTAATATATACTTTATATATTAAAGTATAAAATATAAGTATATTACTCATCTTATAGTAGTATACTTATATATTATATACTATAAACATTATATTATATATTACTTACTATAACTAGTATTGTACTAGTTAATTAGCATTCTTGTTACATTTATCATTATAATAGTTAATTAGTTCATTACCATTATTGTTACATTTTTCATTATACTAGTTAATTAGTTTATTAGCATTGTTGTTACATTTGTCATTATACTAGTTAATTAGTTAATTAGCATTGTTGTTACATTTTTCATTATACTAGTTATTTACTTCATTAGTATTCTCATTAATTGTTAAAACAACTCTACTTCAATAAACTAGTTAATTGTCATTAATTCATTATAGTTAAAGTCACATTTTCTTATTTTCAATTTATATTTGTAGGAAGAAATAGTAGTTCAATCATTTAATTAAAGTACTTAACATTTTATTTAAGTAGTTTTTACTAAATTAAAGTACTTCAAAAGTTGGTATAATTTTAATTTTAAAGTCACACATTAATTCTACTTTGCACTAAATTAGTTTGAAGTATTAATTAAAATAGTTTTAATTAGTTGCATTAGTTTTGTATCCATTATTATATTGGTTGTCAATTAATATTTGTTACATTTTTAACATGGAAGGTGGTAGATATTCGGTTGATTTGGGTAACCTCCAACGCAATCGAAGGAACGAGATTAAGAGGAAGAAATCACGCAAAGGTAAAGAACTTGCCGGTTCTTCATCTCAAAGCCGAGATGATTTTGAAACGGGTTACCAAAGGCGAGATGGAGATGCGATGTCCGAACAACAACTCCAACAAGAATTGGCCCGACATAATAACCGCTTTCTACAACAACAACAAATGCCGACGACCATTGACGAAGAGGAGCTTGAGGATGAAGATGCGGAGGAATTGGAACCCGAGACGGCCGAGGAGGAGGGTGCCGGCAGCCACGACGCCGACGCGCCTGCCTCATCCCAAACCGCCACCGGTAATAAAAAAAGTAAGTCTGAACTAATGAAAAATAATTTTGATAAATGGAAGGACCCACAAACCGGCTATTGGCACGCAACTTGCAAGTGGTGCAACAACAATTATAGTTTGGGAACCTCCGGCGGATACGAATCCGCCGCAAGGCATCTTAAGGCAAAGCACCCCGTGGAGTATGCAAAATTAGGCGGCGGAACGGGGAAGCAAACTCAAATATCGAGGTTTGCGAATTCTCAACTTTTTGGTAATTTCTCCTACAATGATGCACAAAATTTGACTGGTATGGCTAACTTAATTTGTGAAGAAAATTTGCCTTATTTGTTTTCTGAAAGTCTTGCTTTAAGAGATTATGCACAAGGTAGTTTAAATCCTCAATTTAGAAATTATAGTCGCAAAACTGTTAAGAAAGAAATAATAAGGCTTTATAATGCGGAAAAGGAAAGGTTACAAAAATGCCGGTTTCAACAGTTGCTGTGGAACAAGAATTTAGTTCGGCCGGCAACGTCCTAACGGCATCTAGATCGAGATTGAGCGCGGAGTCTCTTGAGACGCTTATATGCTACCACGATTGGTTGAAGGCCGCACGTAGAACTCAAGAATTGAGCATCACCCCCTCCCAAGATTTTATGGATGACTCAACAACCGATGGTGGCTCTACCTATGCCGGAGATTCTGATTGATTAGTATTTTAGAATTTATTATAAAATGTATTTTAATTTTATAGCACTTGTCAAATTTATTTATACTTGTACTTCATATTTCAAAATTGTAAACTTGTACTTCATATTTCAAAATTGTAAATTTGTAGTTGTACTTCAAATTAATTTGTAAACTTGTACTTCATATTTCAAATAAATATGTGTTCACTTTTTCATATGTAGCACTTCTCAAATTAATTAATTGGTTACAATCTAACGACTTAAAATTATTTTTCTAAAATATAAAGCCGGTTTTTAAATTAAAAATACATTTACAATATGTAATTTGTTTAAATACTTATACACCTATTTTGTAACATTTGTAAATTATAAATCAAACCACTTTTCTAAGTACAAATAGTTTTAGTTTTACTTAATTCATTAAATTAATTAATTTATTTTACAATATGTGTATAACTTAAAAAAAAATTAATTCAAACCTCCCAAACGGCTATATAGCCGTTGGGGCTATGGGTGGGGGGCAGGGGGGTCCCGGGGGTGGTGGTGTGGGGAGTGGGGTTCAAAAACATCTATTTTCTAACATTTTTCTACACCTCTTCTCCAATTCTTCTCAAACTCTTCTCCATCTTCATCTTCTCTTATTATCCTACATTCCTACTTATACATATACCATTTTAAATATGGAAAGTACATCTTCCCTTATGCAAAACAATTTTGACAAGTGGAAGGACCCGAAGACCGGACTGTGGTGGGCAACTTGCAGGTGGTGCAAGAAAGAGTGTTGCTTGGGGCGTTCATACGGATACGGGATGCCAATAAAACATATGAAGTCCTGTGACAAAGGGAAAACAACAACCAACGGTGGCGGAAATCCCAATTGATATTCATTACAAAATGTATTTCGTATTGTTATTTTTTTTCTCAATTCTCAAATGTAGTTATTATTTCAAATAAATGCACTTGAACTTTGTTTTTAATAGCAATTTGTATAATATATAATTAATTAAAAAAAATGTACTGGCCCGGCCCGGCCCGGCGGGTGGCCCGACCCGTGACCCGGGCGAGTGGCCCGGCCCGAACCGGAACCGGTCATTGACCGGGCCGGTCCCGGGCCTACCATTATAAGACCCGAGGCCCGACCGGGCCTTGACCCGGCCCGGGCCCGACCCGGCCCGGGTCCAACACTATCAAAATCTAATCTGGTTTGGTGTATTAAAAATACTATCATAAGAGTAAAATAATTCTGTATAAGTTTCTTAAGAATATATAAATATAATGATTGGCCAAAGTTTAATATTACCGACTAGGATAGTCATTGATAAGTTGATAACTAATTGAAGTGTTGAAGGTAGTTATCCCAAATATGATGACAAAATGTTTGTATATTTCAAACAGTAATATCTCTTCTTATTTTCAAAATAGGATTAATTACTGTTATGTTTTGGCAGCATCAAACTTTAAGCACAACAATATTTTTCAAACTTGGTAGTAATTACTTCTATTTTGGAAATAAAAATATGCGATCAATTTTGGAATTTTCAAACTTTTTTACCCCATTTCCCTTAAGTATAATCATTGTTTTAAAACTCGCTAGGCGCTAGTCATTTGTGAGCGGCACCTAGCGCCTAGGCGTCCCGCTTCTATGTTGATTTTTTGGCCGGTTAGGTTGATTAGTCCTTTACAGTTAGGGTTGACTAGATCGATTAGTCGGTTTGATCAGGCCTATTTTTAGAACAGTGATTATAATGTGTAAAATATTATTTGAGATTATGATATTTGAAAAAAGAAAAGGATAACACCTCATTTTTTAGGGTCCCACAAAATCGTCTTTATCTTGTGAATTTGTGATACCTCACTTAAGATTCTGATTTTATATTATATATGTGGTGTTTTGATATAACACTTGAAGAAGATTTTGACTTAAATGGTGGTATCGTGAGAGGACAAGATTTTT